ACACTTTTCCGTTGTTTCCAACCTTCGTCGGCACAAGAAGGTTCACAAGGGCGAGAAGGAAGGCGCCTCGGGTGAGGATGAAGAATAAGCACGTCTCATCCTCGCTCGGCCTTCTTTTCTACTACCCTTCCCAGAGCCTTGTCCTTGCGCAAAGCAACGAAGTGTTTCGGATCGAGATACTCAACGGACTGCGCTGCGCAACCTTCTTTTCTTTTGGAATGGGTTTACCCCTTGTACAACAACTTCAATTTTCTTGACTTCTCTTCTTTTATGTCTCCGTGATAACCGGAGAATTGATACCCCTTTTTATTTATCGCTTTTCATTTTATCATGGATCGGCAGGACACGGCACAAGGGCAACGGGAATTCGCAATGATGTCTCTTTATTCCCCACGTTATGACCATAGAGGTACTGGTTGTTTTCCGGATGGTGATTTTACTTCTTTCTCTCGCTTAGACTAGGGTTTTGGTTTTTCTTTTCTTTTGACATGAATCTTCAGATACCAACTGGGTTGTGACATGTTTGACTTCTTTTCTGCGTTTCCGTGGCATCGCTTATTTGGGATCCGGAAAATATGCGCAGCGGGCAATCGTTTTCTTTTCTTTTCTTTGTCCGATTTTTTTTTTTTTTTTAGAGCATTACTTTTCTTTGCTTTCCATTGGTGATGCTACGACCAGTAGCTGATTTGGCTCGGGTTTTTACATATCGGGTGAAATTGAACGTGAAGGAACTGATACCCGTTGCAATTGAGCGGAGCATATATGGAATGGAATGTTGGGGGTTCATGTTTGGTTTGGATTTCAGCATAGACACGATGTGTCATCTACGGTCGCTACTACTATACCATATTATTGTCTAATACAGATTCGATCTGAAATCACGATTCCCTTATCCCTATAAATATTTTGTTAGGTATAGGTACATTCAGATACCACAAACAAAATTCAAATCCAATAAAAAGAGAAAGAAACCCGAGAAAGCATGATGATCCACATACTTGGCCTTGTCCTGTAAAGCAGACCTACACGAGTCAGCATACCAACAGTATTTTACTCCGTACACCGGAGTACATTGATTCATGTCAAGAATGTATGTCCCGTTACCGAAAAATGTCAGCCACCGCCCATACTACAGTAGTACTCCGTACATACACCTTCAATAATAAACTAACTAGACTGGATATGCTCAACCACAGTCAACAATCACAGTAAGATTTTCGATCTTTAAAGGTACGACTAGTGAAGTAGAATCCACTATCCGGATGCGCTGCTCTTGTATTCTAGGCTGCTTTACTAGGACTTGCTTGATATGATATCTAGCAAGCGTCATTGATCTCGATATGTCAATGATTTACTTCCCCCGCAAGACTGAGTAGAAGGGTATACCGACCCTAGAGGCCTTTCTTTGATGTCTTTAGTACATGTATGGTTAGTTTGAACCTCTATAGGTTCTGGTTCTGGTGGGTATATGTTCGGGTTGACATATTAGGGGATGTAGAATGAATGGACTATGGACTCACTGTGTGATGTCCGAAGTCAGATTGTAGCTATGTATGTCTAACTACAGAAATGCTATTGCTTTCCTACTAGATGGCATGTATATAGATACACTGACGGAACTAGATAAACATCCTCCAGACAAGCATATGTACAAGCATCATCAACTATGTATGTCCATTCTATTATTAGCCACCCATACGACGTAGAACTTCACCAATGAAGACCAAGACAACCCAAGCAAGAACTAAGACTCAAATACCAGACCCCTAAACCCCACCATCCTTCCCCTTTCGGGGTATGTACAGTATGTATGTATATGTCACTACGGGCCCCAAAGAGAAAGAAGAAAGAAAAAAAAAAGACATGCTCCTTGAGGGAGTCGAACCCTCGACTTCAGCTAGTCGGCATGCGGAGTCCGAGAACACGGAGTTACCACATAAGAGCCACGCCATAACCACTAGGCCAAAGGAGCCGCATCTTACCCAGTGGCGAATCTTGTATGGCTTGTGTTTTCATTGTTTTACTTATTTTGCTTTGGTGAGGTATGTTGGATTGTGGGGGGCTTTTTGAGTGTTTGTGTGTGTTGGTTACTTGGGGAGTTTTGGGTAGTGTGATTTGTATTTTGATTGGGGTTCAGATTGGGATTGTGGGTTGGATTGGTTTGGTAGAGGTGGTGTGGGTTGCTCGCGGGATATGGGTATGTATGGGGGTTTAGAATTAGGGGGTTGTGTGTTTCTTTTTCTAGGGTTGGTCTGTTGGGTCGTAGAGTGGGAGTTGATTTGATTTGATTTGATTTGTTGGTTGTGGAGTGATAATATCTTTACATTGTTGTATCCTGTATCTAGTATATGCCTTTGGCTTCATGCTTGATGGGACATTGCAATGGTTATATCTTTCTGCTTGGATGGACTTGGTTTGAACCGCTCATATCAAGTCATAACTAGAGTTAATGCATCTCCATGGTCTGAGTAGCTGGAGTATTGTTAGTGGTATCCTCCGAGGAGTCACCACTATGACCATGCAGCCCCAAAACCGCCACCTCATGCTCCTCCGACAGATGATGAGCGCCAACAAAGAATCCAGCAACAAGACTGACTCCCGCAAAAGCAACATACTAACAATATAGTCAGCAGGCATCACCTATGTAGAAGAGAGAAACGAACCATAATCCACGTGGTCCGCAATGAGGCAAACACAGCCTGCCGGACCACTTCCCTCTGATCTGAGGGAAGTGTCCCAATCAGCTGTACATTGGCCGTGGCATTCGCACCTCCAAACTGACCAGCGAGCTCACCACCCAGAGATTGCACGAGCTTGGTACTTTCCTTCACCATCTGGTTCTGGAACACGACTCCCCCGATAACCACCGAGATTGCTGTCGACATAGTCCGCACGAACCCGATTGTAGCGGTAGCTGTAGCGGTGTTCTTGACGCCAACAATCGCCTGCAGAGCGAGCAGCGGCCCTTCGAAGTTCATGCCTATCCCTGTACCTGAGATAATCTGGAATCCGATGATCTTGCCCCAGTTTGCTGTTGCTTCTAGGTTGATGAGGAGTCCCACTCCGAGGGTTAACAGGCCAAGGCCGAGCCACATCGGGGGGATATATTGGCCTGTTTTCTGGATGAAGAGGCCCGTAAAGGCTCCTGAAAATGTGCAGGCGATGACGAAGGCTAAGAGATAGACGCCGGACATGATTGGGCTGGCGCCGAGGACGGCTTGGAAGTACAGCGGTAGGTAGTATGCCTCGCCCATGAAGATGAATCCGTGACAGAAGCAGACGACAAATGCGGCGATGCCGGACCGGTGCTGGAAGAGGGTTAGTGGTATTACTGGGTATTTGGCGAGTTTCCACTCGTTCAGGGCGAATAAACCCAGAACTACGATGCTGAAGATGATTAGGCAGATGACTGTTGCTGAGTCCCAGGGGTGTGTGACGCCGCCGAAGTCTAGGGCGAGGAGTAGCATGATGCTGCTGCCGATTACGAATAATGAGCCGATCCAGTCGACGGCCTTGAGACCGTCCCAGATTGGTGTGTGTGGGTTGTCGAGTTTGAGGGCTAACCAGAGCAATAGAAATGCAAGTCCCGTGATTGGTACTAGAGTAGCAGTATTGATCAGTTAGCGATCAGTCGGATATTATTACATTGGCGATAGATAAGCAGAGAATGCCATACAGTTGATCCAGAAGCACCATCTCCAGCTGTTGTGTGCCAATTGGTTAGTGTGTCAGGAACTCAGTCAAGACCTTCGAGTAGTAGTAGTACTTACGTTGCCTTCTCCGATAGCACGCCGCCCAATATAGGACCAATTCCGCTAGCTAAAGCCCAGTCTACGGACAGTAGACCAAAATATAGGCCCCGATCTCTCAGAGAGAATAAGTCGCAGACACAAATATTGACCAATGTCATCAGCGCTGCCGAACCCAGGCCTTGCATAACACGGCCAAACAGAAACAACGCCATTGTGTTGGCCACAGAGCAGATCAAACTTCCTGCAAAGAAGATTGCATTTCCGCAAAGCAGAAGTGGCTTCCTTCCCCATATGTCGGACAGTTTCCCCCACAAGGGAACGGAGGCGGTGTTAGCCAGTATGTAGGCACTGCCAATCCAAGTGTATCCTGAAGCTGAGTGGAAATGGCCAGCAATAGAGGGCAGGGAGGTAGTGACGATAGTGGCATCTAATGCAGCCACGAATGTTCCGGCGCAAAGACATGACATCACAATAGATGTCTGGAGGAGACTGCGACCAGGAGCACCGGTTGTAGTTTGAGCCTGGCTTGGGGCCGTTGTAGAACGCTGAGCAGTCTCTTTCGCCATGGTCATTATACTCGTTTTATGGCTTAGTTTGTTCTGCTTGTTGTCGTAGCGTCATTGAAAGACAAGTTTGCACTTCTGCTAGCTTTTTAGACTTGGGTTGCCCATGCAGTTTTGTTTTGCTCTGTATCCAACAGTTTGAACACGGTAGATTTGCCACAAAAAATAGCACCAGTATGCAGACACCAATTCTTAGAGTGGCTTTTGGCTCTCCGAGAGGAGCCGAGATGAGGTATAAGCTAGATGTTGGCTCAAAGCTGCGATGAGCCGTACGGAGAGAATAGGTCTGGCTCTTGCGGTGATTGTGTCAAGTATCTCTAGTTAGAGCTCTATCTTGAACAATAATATAAGAGAATTGAAAAGGGGATGATAGACGGGGTAATCATGGCGTTGCATTGTTTTCTGACAGAAGGCAGGTCGTTCTCGTTCTCGTTCTCGTATTCGTTGTCGTGTTACCCCAAGAGCTTGTCCGTCCATGACTACAATTTAGCAAACCATCGACCACACTCACATCAGTTTCTCGACCACGAAAATAAGACAAGAATTGGTAACGGTAGGCCGTGTTTCTCACACTCGTAGCTTAATACGCGTGATTGAAGTAAAGACAGCCCACCGAGCGTGGTCTATCTCTGCCACTACATGGCAGCACTTCCGGTGCCCGGGTCGTCGTTACATGGTCCTCAAGATGCCACCACGACGGTCGCACAAGAAATCACGAAATGGTTGCGATCAATGCAAAGAGAGGAGAGTAAAGGTACGAAATACCTATGTCCCGGCAATGCCCTGGTGCCTCTTAATATGGAACTCTTCCAAGATAACCTGTGGGTCCCATAAGCCCTGTATACATACCCTAACCTGTTCAAACTAGTGCGATGAGAAACATCCGATATGCTCCAATTGCACCTCTCGGGAGCTCATCTGTACCTATTTGAGGATCCCTATAGTCTCATCTCTGAGACGCACAGCTCATGCAGTGGCCGATCGCTCCCCAGACCCACCACACCAGGGACAACCGCAGTCAGAGAACCATGTCAAGCAGCCTATCAGCTCCGTAAGATCCGCCGAGCCAAGCTTTGACCTTCGTGATCTCGAACTCATGCACAAGTTCTCAACCGACACCTTCAAATGTCTATGCGGAGACCAGTCCGACATGGATGACTGGCAGGTTCTCATCCCCCAACAAGCATCTAAGCATATGTTCTTACTCCATGGCATCCTCGCATTAGCAGCCTTGCACGTAGCAGCCACAGCCACAGAATCCGCTTGTGTGCTGTCATATCTTGACACCGCGCTTCAATACCACAACAAATCATTCGCCCCATTCCGACAAGCACTCGACGCCCTCACCCCGCTAAACTGCGACGCAGTCTTCGCCCAGTCCGCCATAATAACCGTCATTGGCATCGCCCTGCCACGCCTTAACGCCCAGCATAGAGGCGAATGCTTCAGTATGATCGAGAACATGATCACCGTGTTCGAGCTCCTACAAGGCTCGACTAAGGTCTCCCGTATCAGTCGACCGTGGCTTAAAGCCAGTATGTTTTCTAAATACGACTTCTGGATGATAGGAACTGGAGACTTAGATTCCGAGAAGATTGTTGCTATAGAGAAACTAAGTCAATTGAATACCTGCATCGCTGGTGCCGAGCAAAGTGGTGCTAACCGTGAGGCAATTGACCTGTTACAATCTTGCTTTGCTAAGTTTGCTCGTTCGTCTCATCCGGTGGCTATTCTTGCTTGGTTGGTCTATACAAAGAAGGAATTTATTGATGGGATGCGGATGCGCCAACCGTTTCCGTTGTTGGTTTTGATGCATTGGGGTGTGCTGTTGAATGAGCTGGGGAGTCATTTCTGGTGGGCGAAGGGGTGTGGTCGGGATTTGGTAACTGAGTTGTTGGCTGAGATCAAAGGTGAAGACCCAGTATGGGAGCAGGCTTTGGAATGGCCACGGAAGATGATAGGAGCCTGAAGATTAATCAAAATCCTATGCCTTGCGAGGCATACATAGACTGAGCATGGTGCGACGCCATGCAGGTTCGAGTGTATTCATAAACGAAGGAATTATAATACATGATTATACGTTGGTGTGTTTTCTTAATTCACTGGTCCCGCCAGGATTCATTCAACTGGGTCAAGACTAGCCACATCAGTCCTTCTCAAGAGACCAGTTACTGGCGCTCAATCCACGTCTGGATGACCTCCGCGACCTGGTCACTGTTTTTCTCCATGAACACCATGTGACCGTTACCGTGGATGCCAATCTCACCCAACTGCAGATGTTCCGTGGGCACGCCAGCCTGGCGCAAGAACTTGACAGTGCACCAGTCATAGGGAGCATGGTAAGAAGACTCAGTGGTCAAGATCATAGTCGGCACCTTTTGCAGGTTAACAAGCTTGCGAGGCGCCGGGTGATCGGCTTGAATGACGCAAGGGGACTGCGCAGTGGAGTTGCTGGGGATAACCTGGCGCACAAGGTCCTTCTTGGGATCCGACACGGCGGGCTCAAAAGTAAGGGGAATGTCCGTGAGACCGTACGGACGAGAAGACGTGTTGCTGAAGACAGCCTCCTGGAAGGGAGGGCCGGTAGGTTCCAGGGACACGATGGCGTGGACAAGGTCCGGGCGTACATCAGTGATGATCCATGGCATAAGACCTCCTTGCGAGTGGGAGAGCAGAACCACCGGGCGACCGATAAGGTCCAGCAATGCCGCACCGGCCTCCTGCATGGTATACTGTTGACCGGTACTGGATCCAAAGAACTCCACAGTCGAGGCGTAGTAGGTGTCGAAAACGGGATCACCCATCATGCCAGTACCGTTCCACTGAGTGTGCAGCGCGGCCTGGGGCCAGAGCATGTAATGCTTCGCGGCTGTAAATCGCTGCTGCAAGATCTCAGCGCTGTAGGTTTTAAGGGTGCCATTACTTGGGAACCAGGGGCTGCGGCCACGGAAGGTCTGATCGATCAGGTAGCATTCGTAGCCTTGAGAGAGGAAGTAGGAAGCCCAGCCGCTTCCACCATCGGGCTTGTTCAGCCAGTTCTGTAGCCCCAGAGTTAGTCAAGCAGCCTTTTCTTTCCGCGGTTGGGACATTTTGAAGCTTACCGTGCCGGTTTGCGCTTGACCATGAATAAACACAACCGGGTGCTCCTTGGTCACTCCTTGCGTGGGAGTGAGTTTCTCCACATACATCTGATCAGTGAAGACATGTCCGCCTGAGTTGTCCTGCACATACTGGCCCCCGACGTACAGATAATTGCGGTGATAAGCTACCTCAGCATTGGAAACGATGGGGTTGTGCGCTACGGCATTGGTGCCGGTAATTGAGATCAAGATCCCTGCTAGAGCGCTACCAAACCGCATCTTGGCTGCTTCTGGAATATACAGTTGACAGGGATATGAAGAAAAAAAAAATATCAATCCGAGTTGGGAGAGAAGACGGGGGATCTTCGGCAGAGAGCAATCAGACCATCGGGTTGCCGGTGGAATAGTGGAGCTCCTCGTGTGGGCAGTGAGACACCGGTTCCGTCCCGTTTTACTATGAAAGGTAAGGTTAACTGAACATCTCCCTTTGGTGGGCCCTAAAATGTAAGTCATACAATTCCCCCTATATTAATTGTACTCTTATTGTAAAATGATTCGTTCAGAACTGTCCCAAGGCGGATGCAGACTTTGCTATAAGGAACTTAGCGCATACTCTCGAAGTGCGTACGAGAAGAACGGTCCCAGACTAACACTTCTAGCGAACCCTAAAAAATTAAGTTTTCGTATTGGAATCCTGAAACTGGGTCTCTGCACAGAGGTGTGTGAAAAATGGTGAAAAACCGAGGCCGACCGGGAGTTGCGATCTGTTCATATAGGATCGCACCAGGTTCGGCTGCCGAACTCGATCGCATTCGACACAGCCGACACGATGCTAAAGTCATAGAGCTACCATGGACGACGCGACTCTGGTGTCCCTATGGGTTCTCACCTGGTGTGCGGTCGGGTTAATCTCGATACGCTTGGTGATGCGGAAAATTCGTGGGAAAGCATTCGTCTTGGGTGATTATCTGTCGCTCTGTGCGATTCTCTGTGCATTGATCCGGCTGGCGCTCGTCCATGTCATTATTATCTGGGGCACGAATAACATGTCGCCTGGATTTCGATATTCGCACCACTTCACCCCGGAGGAGATCTACCGTCGAGAAACCGCGAGCAAGTTCACCTTGGTTAATCGAGTCTTCTACAACACATAGTACGCACTTGATTTTTTTTTATCTGTTGAACAAAACAGAACCCCGGCAGCTGACGCCAGGAATCTCAGTCTCTGGCTTCAGAAGTTCATCTTGCTCGACACGTACCGTCATTTGCTTCGAAACCTCAGCTGGGAACGCATAACCCTGGGCACATATGTCCTCATATTTGCGGCCACCTACGTGACAGTTCAGATTGTGACCTTCACGGAATGCGACCCTTTCGACCATTACTGGATTGTGCTGCCAGACCCTGGTGCGTGCGCCCCATTGCGTTGGACATCCGGGATCGCTCACTAACGAAGACCGATAGGACTCTGCTCTCAAGCACAGCTACAGCTGATTGTCCTAGGTGGGTACACACAAGTTGATGTTTTCTCCGGCAAAGAGGGAGGCTAATAACTTGTGGGGCGACTATAGGCGTCCTAAACATCGTTACGGATCTGATGTTGATCGTTTTGCCGGTCCCACTATTGGTCAAGGTTAAACGGCCTTTAATGGAGTAAGAGCGCTCTTTGATCACGTCAAGGACTAAGTGCTTTAGGAACGGGTTCTTGTTAACCTCACCTACTGACCACTGCATCTATTAGGAAACTGCAACTCGCGGCCCTTTTCGCTGTTGGCTTTTTCATCGTCGTGATTACCGTTATCCGTCTTCCTCAAAATGCCCAGCATTCCACAGCGCAGGTGAATCGCACAACGTGGGCATCTGTGGAGCTTTTTGCGGCGGCAATCGTGGCTAATGCCCCAGTTTTATACGGGTTCTACCGTGGAGAGCGGGAAGCATCTCGGTCAAGGACCACCGAAGGAACGACTCGGCAGCAGTCATCCCTAGGACGCGGAGGAACGGTCTCACGAGATCCAGAGTTGGAGATGCAACCAATACCAGGAGGCCACCTCCGACAAACTTCCATGCTCGGCTCTAAGCGTCGCTCACGGCCCATGCACGGCTATACGGAACTCGATGAGGGCAGCAGTGGCCATCTGGTTAAAGAGGCTAAGGATGACGAGATTTAACGACGCCCCTGTACTACTGCAGAAATGTTTGGTACTCAGGATAGTGCAGCCTTTAGAGGAGGGGGTGTGTCTTATGCTATTGGCTATTAACAACACATTGTAATGACATATTATCAACTAATAATTAGATACCAGCTCAACTGAGCTTTGATACCCTTTCAGACGGTGGAGTGCTAGATAACGTTATTCACGAATATATTCACTGAGGTTCACCGAACATACTATTCTTCTGACATGCAAAAGTTTTGACTGGTGTCATGAGGCATATACACTGTAACACCTAGCTATGCAGGTCAGTGAAAGTAGAAGCCCATAGGGTTGTGCCGTGCATCGATGAAACTCCGATGACTATCCTAGTCTGGTGACTTGTCTCTATCTCATGACCTGTTGTTAGAGAATATCCTACCTAAAGCGCTCCTTACACACTTGTCACTCAATTCCTGTCTTAGTTGATTGAGATGAATTAGGTACGTTTTATCGAATGTCGAGCATCACCTCATACGGGAGTTCACTTTCACTAAGCGCCCAGCAACAACAAATTTCCATCTCTCCGAGACTACATAGATAGGTAATTGTATCAATTTAATCCATGACACGTGTCGATGTACGGGCGCTTAACAACCGTATGCGGTTGGTTATGTCTCCGGCATATTTAATCATCTTGGCCACCATTCCAACTCTTCATTGTGCCCCTTAATGGCTTTGCAGTGCATAAACTTTATTATCAACCGGAATGGTGAGGCACATTTCCCTCGAGGTCTCATGTGCGGCTGTTTATCCTTTATGAATTCTATACAAAGACCAGGATCCGGCGGCTAATTCTGCTACCCGTAGCCCTCATACTTACAATGTAACAAATTAAAAACAAGGAAACATCGTCGAAACGATACCGAAGGTTTCAATTATTTGAGCTAAAGGGGTTTAATAGATATTCAAAGTACAAAAACCTACAAAGAGCCAAAAAGGTTGTTATCCTCACCGAGCGGCTGTAGCAGATGCGGTGTCTTCAGATTAGCCTTGAAGGATTTCTGGTTTGGTAACCTATTCGAGAGTGAGGGTCTATGTAAGGAGGCAGTGTACATATCCAACAGGTTCTATCAAATTCTTGCCTCTCTATGGAACAGTATTTTTGTAAAGCTTCTCACCACAGTACTATCAAAGTAGAAGTCCCGCCAAGGCATAAACTGTGAACTCATTCACAATTACTTTGTAAGGGATCTAAGAGGGTTATGGAATGGTAATTATGAGTGAGTTGGATGTGTTAAGCGGCCAGAGTGAATCCCCAAACACAGAAACACTATATATAAGATGAGTATATCTCCTGCAATCCATGTCCCATACAATTTTCCTACACTGTCAAACCCTGGGTCCTTCTCCACAAGCCTCAATATCCTGACTGTTACTTCCCTCTTCCTCCACGTTAATCAACACTTCATCCAATATGTTGCTCACCAACTTACTCCTCTTCTGTCTTGCCATAATCCATGCCGAAGCCTTACCCTCCCTCCCCGACCTCGCCACTACGTTCTCCCAGATCTCCTTCTATCTCGACAACGCCCACGTTTCCAACTGCTCTCTCGCCAAAACTAGCCTCCCGCCTCATAGATCGCTCCCTGGGCCCAGCCCAGACCTCCATCTCAAATACGTGACGGTGGGCCGAGGAACCCAAAACTACACTTGCCAAGAAGACTCCAACACTACAGCGTCCCAGGCAGCGGGAGCCGTTGCAACGTTGCTCGATGTTTCCTGCTTGGCTGCATTTAATCCAGCACTTCTTCACAACTTCACCCCAGTTGTGAGAGCAGTAAACTCAGAGACACTACCATTCCTTGCCCTGCTTGGCAGTCAGCTCTCCTCGTCAGCTACAAAGTTCATCTTGGGAAAACATGAGTTTAATGCTGCTGGCCAGCCAGTTTTTGATCTGCAACTTGCTGGTGGGAGTGACTGGATGGCAACTAAAAAGAATGCTAGTAGTGGAGCACCTGACGATAACACTGCTAACGTGCCTTGGTTGAAGCTTACCTCGGTCAATGGAACTGGCATCACAGTAAGTTGGGTATGTTTTGTCATTTGTAAATTGATGCTGATATGTTTCTCAGGAAGTTTACCGCCTGCATACTGTGGGAGGTCAGCCTCCAACTAATTGCCAAAATCGTAAGGGTACGTTTCAGGTGGAATATGCGGCCGAGTATTGGTTTTACGGTTGATGAATTACCTTTGGTTGGTTCTTGCTTCACTGGTTTTGTGTTATGAAGGTTCTGGCTTTGCTATTCTATGTGCTGTACGTCATTTATCCTTGCTTACTGTTCGTCGCCAGTCGTTTGTACCACTTGATTCGTTATTATGCTACTATTCTGGTATTTTTTGGATGACCAGGAAACTATATCTTCATTAAAAATCCTAAAAATAGCCAGTTATGATGCTACAGACATGAAAGACCGTGCAATATAAGCCCAAGCAGTCTATGACACGACAAGATGCTCCACCCCGACCTTATCCGCCTCCTTATTCAAAGCGTCAATTTCAGCCTGAACAAAAGGAATCCCCGACTTCACTCTCTCCTCACGCGTAATCTGTTCAATCTCCCCGGGATAGTAAATCCGGTCCACGCCAGCCATCTTCTCAGATCCGACCACTCTCTGATAAAGATAATCCATACGCTCCTTGAAGTCGTCCAATCCCATAAACAAATCCGGCTTAATAGCCACCAAGAAATGGCCCACGTCTGCAGGCTTCGACGGATCATAAGGGCCCGTAACATGCCCAGCAAACGCGGACCCCGACAAAACCCCAGAAAACACATCCATCATAACCGCCAACGCCGACCCCTTGGGACCGCCCATCGGCAACATAACGCCCTCCAACGCGCGATTCGGATCGTCTGTCTGCCTCCCCTCCCCATCCAACGCCCAATCAGTAGGGATCTTCTCCCCGCGCCGGGCAGCCTTATAAATCTTGCCCCGCGCCGCAATCGAAGGCGCCATATCCAGAATAAACGGCTTCTCCTTCCCAGCCGGCGCCCCACACGCCAAAGGCGAAACCCCCATCAACTTCTCCCTCCCGCCCCAAACCGGCAACGCAGGCGACGAGTTCGTAAACACAAGACTCATC